GACTTGGAAAGACAAACACCATCACTCCGAATATCCCCCCTTCATCCTTCTTTCCCCAGCTCTATATGCTGAGCATGACATCATATGGTATGGAATATCCCTTTGGTCAGTAGGGGTCAGCTGTCCTGGCTGTGTCCCTTCACAACTCCTTGTGCACCCCCAGCCTCCTTGCTGGTGGGGTGGGGAGAGAAGCAGAAAAGGCCTTGGTGCTGTGCAAGCACTGCTCAGCAGTAACAAAAACATCCCTGTGTTATCAACACTGTTTTCAGCACAAATCCAAAACATAGCCCCATACCAGATAATGTGAAGGAAATTAACTCTATCCTAACCAAAACGTGCACAGGGGTGTTGATCTGAAAACTCTTATGTTGAAATCTTACAAGAAAAAAGTGTCAGACCATATCAACATTAGACTTCATTACAGAATGCAGTAGTACTTCTCATAACTCAGTAGAGAGCTTCAGTCCTTTCTACAAAATCATATTAATTTAAAGTAACGGATAACTCAGAAAGAAGGATCTACACTGGATCAGACCAGTATTCAGTCCATAACCATGCTAACACTAATATTATGAGAACATCGAACTGTAGAGACAGCTAACAAGAGGTATATTTTATTAAATTAAGACAGAAGTCCTTGGCAGTTCTAATTAATGTAAAAAATCAGTGTTTTGTTTATTCCATTGCAAATTTCAAGCTCAGTTGAACATCATTTACTAATCCCTTAAACAGCTTCACACAGTTGGTTTTTGAGAAGGCATATATAGCAGTTTGAAAACTGTAATGAGATTTCTTTTTGCTAATAGATATTTTTAGTATTAAAGGTTTTGTAAAATATGAGCATTAATTTTCCCATATACTATTTACATAAAGTCTAGCTTAAAGTGTTTAAAGGCCTGTTAAAAGAATAAGCTAAAAAACCCCCTAGCAGATAGAAGTATTTACTTGAAAACAAATTTCTTTAAGTGGTCGCTATCACACATTCAGAACACATAGGATAATACCTGCCAAATAAGATCACAGATGAAAAAATATGTGTATCATAAAAGCTGAAAAGAAAAAATTATACATTCATCCATTTTACTTGACTGATGGCATTTTGTGTAATTAATGCACATTTCAGTTATAAAATATAAAAAGTTTCATTATTAAGGGAGATTGAAAAAGCAAGTAATGTAGATTTATGTATTGGTGTGTTTAAACTTTCAACAAAATCTTCAGTTAATCTTTCATCTTTTGAGTAATCTTGTACTTCACTTATAACAAAATATATAATATCTGAATGAGTAGATGTAAAATTGTGGGTCATATATGTGTGACATAACATTTCTGGTTGTGAAAGTGCAAAAACCTGTTTCCATATTTAAAAATACACTTAGATAGTTCAAAATAAAACAAAATTAGATACAGGCTATATTTTGTTTGATTTTATAGAAGAGAATTTCTGGAAGCGACGATTTTCCTCTGTGTGCCTGGCTGTAAGAAAGCAACCATAATAGTCTAGTACCATTATAATGATTGATCTGTCCATACCTCTGAACTAGACTTTTCCAGTGGAACAGTGATGTGGAAAATGGTCATGACCACAGTCACAAAGTGGAGCTTTAAGGAGCAAGGGGTTACTAATTTTTTTGGCATATCTTCAAATTTGTATTACCACCACAGTCCTTCTCTTCTAACACCACTATTTTCCTGCCATGATTCCAGTAACTAAAGAATTCCTATTTGACATTGTAGTCATTGACCAGCCTTGCCTTGAAGCTGATAGGTTGTTGCTGTCATCTGCTTCTATTTATTGACTAGAAGACTTAATTTCTCCAATCTTCTTCCACACAAATTTGGGAAAATTTCTCCAAATGTATTTTATGAGGATAAAGGAATTCAAAGAACTCTAGTAAATGCAGACAATCTAATGTAAAACATCACAATATTGAAAAAATGCAAACAATAACACAGTAACATTTGTTTCTGTAGTGAGATAATAAATTTAACACCTGAATTCAGCAAATTATTTAAGCATATGGGATAAGTCAATTCAGGTCAATACTATTACTTCTGTATTGTTATACATGACTGCATGAATGTTATACTGAAGAAGCTGAACCAAACAGACCACTGAAGTCAGCCATCTTTCAAACCTAAAACTCCATCAGCAGGTCTTTAATTCCCTACTGGATCTTTCAATACAAAGTAGTCATTGAAGAATTATTCACTTTTAACTTGCAAGGGTTAACAGGAAGACTTGTGAGCAATTTTATATCAAGAATATCTAGTTTTTCCAGATTACTTTTTTTATTTTCTTTTTGTTTACACTTGAGAGTCAGTGCATCTGGCAACTTATTCAGGTAAAGGACAATTATTAATCACCTTCCTTTATTTCAGTTATGATGTATGAAGTCTTTCACACTTGTGAGATTTCAAAAGTATTTAAAGCTTATATCTCCCTCCTGCTAATTTAAAGTCTATAACAAATAGCTTTCTTGTGGAAACAGCAACCTGTAATCATTTAGCAACTCACGGTCACTCCAAAATTCATTACTCTGCCGCTGAATTCTTGTTTGCTTTCTTCTGGAAAAAGTGAGCATTAGATGCTTTTCAATTACTGTGCCCTTCAACTCAATAAGATTGGTTTGTTATGAATCTCTTCTTTTAGAAGTTAATCATGTGCTTAATAGGAGGACATCAGCCATTTCTCATTGTGTTGAAATTGAGAGAAGTCAAGAAATAAATGATAAATTCAGACTTAAAAATGCTCTATTTACAGGAATATAAAAAAGATGTGAGGGTGAAGGATTTCATAATGACCCAGCTTATGGTCCTTTACTCTCCTTCTAATATATTTATGTTCCCCTGTCCTTCGGTTTTAAAGTTGTGGACTCTCTGAAGCCAATATTACTTTTCCCCACGGCTGCCATGGTATGAGGATTTCACCCATACTGTTTAAGTTTCTCTGCATTACGGGAGCAAGTGACACAGGCATTCAGAGTTCCAGATAAAAACTGGTATTTACCACAGTGAACGACTGGAATAACAAGTGCTCTGATAAAATATACGTCATGGTTCATGCAGTGGCAGAATCTCCTATAATATATTATTGCTCTTTCCTTGTCAAATTCTCTGGGGTTTTTATGACAGTTTAAAGATTTTTCTCTAAATTTAGTGTCATATGGAAAGCAACCCAGATATACTCTGTCACAGAACAATGCATGGAAAAAATATGTAGAGGCACTGAGTCTATTCAACCAGATAATGGTTGCTGAATATTCTCAGAAATCTTGAAAATAAAAATAAGGCTATCTAGGATAAGGTCTTTTTTTTTTTTTTTTCTTTTTTTTCCACAGGGAAGTTCATTATGAATAGATGTGACAGTGGTAGCAGAGTACTGAGAAGCAGAAGTCTTTGTTTTCCTTATTTTTCAGAAGCAATCTGCCACACCTAAGGCAAATATTTGTCTTTTTTTCCATCCTAGAAAATAGGATGGAAAATAGGTGTTGTGTTGATAGAACATGATGTGTTCTTCAGTTGGAGAATAAAAATCAGGCTTCTTGTCTTAGAATATTGGAATTCCATACTTTATTAAAGGACTTGAAGAGTCATCTTAGAATAATTGAATCATGGAATTGTTAGGGTTGGAAGAGACCTTCAAGATCATCTAGTTCCAACCCCCCTGTATTGGACAGGGACACCTTCCACCAGACCAGGTCCCTTAAAGCCCCATCCAACCTGACCTTGAACACTTCCAGGGAGGGGACAGCCACAGCTTCTTTGGGCAACCTGTGCCAGTGTCTCACCACCCTCACAGTGAAGAATTTATTCCTTATATCTAAACTGAATCTACACTTTTTCAGTCCATCCTATCCCTACATTCCCTGATAAAGAGCCCCTTCCTCAGCTTTCCTGTAGGCCCCTTTAAGCAATGGAAGGATGCTATAAGGTCTCCCCAGAGCCTTCTCCAGGCTGAACAACCCCAACAATCTCAGCCTGTCCTCGTAGGGGAGGTGCTCCAGACCCCTGATCATCTTTGTGACCTTCCTCTGTTCCCTCTCAAGCATGTCCATGTCCTTCTTATGTTGGGGACCCCAGAACTGGACACAGTACTCCATGTGGGGTCTCACAAGAGTGGAGTAGAGAGGGAGAATCGTTTCCCTTGACCTGATGACCACACTTCTCTTGCTGCAGCCCAGGATATGGTTAACTTTCTGGGCTATGAGAGCACATTGCTGTCTTATATTCAGTTTTTCATCCACTAACACCCCCAAGCCCTTCTCTGTAGGGCTGCTCTCAATCCACTCTTGCCCAGACTGTATTTGTGCTTGGGATTGCCTCAACCTCAGTGCAGGACCATGCACTTGGCCTTGTTGAACTTCATGAACTTCACATAGGCCCAGCTCTCAGGCCTGTCCAGGTCCCTCTGGATGGCATCCCTTCCCTCCAGTGTGTCAACTGCACCACACAGCTTGGTGTCATTGGCGAGCTTGCTGAGGTTGCACTCAATCCCACTGTCCATGTCACCAACAAAGATATTAAACAGCGCTGGTCCAGCACTGACCCCTGAGGAATGCCACTTGTCACTGCTCTCCACTCGGACATTGAGCCATTGACCTCAACTCTTTGAGTGTGACCATCCAGACAATTCCTTATCCATCAAGTGGTCCATCCATCAAACCCATGTCTCTCCTATGTCATATAGTTTTTAGACCTTTATAAATTTCAATGCAAATCAGAGTTATCTAACCAGGATTTGTACGATTAGACCTTAAAGCATTATTTCTTTAAAGAAATAAAATATTTTTGTCTTGGTCATAACAAAAAGGCATTGTAGAATATAGTTAATGCAATAATTTTCTTTGCATTTCAGTACTTTAATTGTATTTGGTCCCCAGAAAACTTCCTCAGTGTCAAAGGTCTGTACAGTGGCATCTGAGTTTGTTCTGAAGTCTGGGAAATACAAACTGCATCTTTTTAATATATTCTGGCTCTGTTTTCCTCCTGTTTCACAGTTATTCTATTTTAAGTAAGTGTTGAGAAAGCAACAATCAAAATTTTCAAGCATTTTCCCCACGATATTCTTCACAAGAGATTAAGAAAATAAAGGTAATGGAGACTAAAAAAAGTTTTTAATAATGTTTTAAAAAATGGAAGTCTTTCACTTACTTTGAATCCTCAGAATAACTTTTATGCAATAACCAGATGGTGATTATATTTATTTACTTATTTATAGAAATATTTTCTCATGTTAATTCATGTGATTTCCTGAACTGATCTTTCTTTACTCCATAACTGATATGTGCAAAAAAGAATTATTATAGAAATAAATAGGCATATTTCTCATTTAAATGCATCCTGAAGTTATACGTGTGGGAGTTCCATAGAAATAATAAGGAATGGATAACATTTCAGTTGGCTGATTTATTCTGTAGGATAGCTATCTGTCAGCAGATCCAACCTAGAGCAAATACCAGTTGTGACAAATTTTCAAATAAATGGATCTGAAAGACAAAATATTGTTGTACTGTAGTGAAATTAGTAATGTGAATGTGGCCCATTTTCAAGTCAAAGTGAAAATAACAAGATACAGACTTTATGATGTCTAAATATTTAATTCCTACTCATACAAGATTGGATTTCATGTTCCTCTCAGCTGGTTGGAATATGGATTGACTTTTTCCATAGGCACCAAAGAGTTTTAAGGAGAAACATTCATGTAGGTTAACTTTTCTACCCATCTTCTGGGGAAATATAAGGAAATTAATGCATAGAAGGAATATGTCAGTGTAGAGTCATATAATGCAAATTTTCCTCTACATGAAGTCCCTGATAAACTAGTATAAGATCAGGCAAACTCCAGATACTTCATCTTTTACCTTGCCTAGAAAGAATACTTGAGTTTTTTTCAGACAAAGACAAAAATTCAGATCATGTATGTGACATAAAATTAGTTACCTGTTGCTCCTGAGTTTCCCAGAGATAAGATTATTCACATTAATTTCCAAGCAGTCATGCATCCAGCCGTCAAAAGGGAAAAGGAAGGTTCTCTGCCTCAAATCACTGTCCTCAGCCAACTGTCTAACTGAGCAGGAAACATTTATCAGTTACATGAATGCAGTCAAAAGTAGGCCTTTCTGCAGTTGATGAATGAGGTGGACAGGGGACTGGGTATTACCTGCTCAGAAAAAGAAATTCAACCATTTCATTCATTCTTTTGTCTGCTATTTTGAAATCATCTATGCACTGTTTGTGCTAAAGTTGTGCATTTAGTTTATCCAGTTAACAATTTTAAGTCTAGGTCAAACCCGTGGTATGTAATTAAATCAATATTCCTTGTGTTCCTTGCAACCTAACAGCCAACAGAATTTGAAAAATATGTCTAACAGTATACATTTAATAACATGGTCCACTAACCATAATATAGTTCAGATTAAATGTTCCATACCTCCTTCTGTAGAAGATATTAAATTATTTCAGGTTCAGCTGTAAGTAAACTGATGAAGCATTAGCCACATATATGCTATGTGCTATTTTAAAAAAAGAATTATTATCTTAGCTGTTAAACATACTAAAATTATATGAATTTTCTCATTAATTTCTACTGAGAAAACACAATCTGGAAAGAATGAAGATGAGCCTGAAAGGGAACTGAGTTACCATAGGAAACAAGATTGGATCAACAAGTTGCTGTATTAAACAAAGAAACGTCAACTCACCCATGCATAATGAGATATGCTACATTTCAATGCGTACAAATGCAACACTCTGTATTTTTGGTATAACTAGGAAGTATCTTTTTTTTTTTTTTTATCTTAAAAATACTTTATTGCTTCTTCTGACTGAGTAAACCATATACAGGTGCTTCTTTTATATAGCCTAGTAGCTTATAATTTTACTGTTCATATGCTTGAAATTAAGCATTATAGATCACCACTTTCAGGGTGAAAGCTTATATGTTATAGTGAAGGTTGATATCAGCAATATTAATCTGAAGAATTTATGACCCAAAATATTCTTTGAATATTCACTCTATAATAATATACATTTTTAATTTAAAAAAAATAAACAATGAGTTTGAAACAGACACAGTGAAAGGTAATGGTGATACCTATTTCCATCCACATTTGCCAGAAATCACATTCTAAATATTGATTTAGATACCAGGCTAAGAAAATGTGTGCTCTAATGAGTAGAAAGTTGCTCTGGCAAGCTGGGTACCACATTCAAAAACCTTGATTGTTTTAAAATTAAATAGATTTTGTGTGAAAATCATACCCTGTTATTATGTGGAACTGTCCTGTGCAAAACAGGTAAAATATCATGGTACATGTTCACCTTTTCCCTGGGGAGGAAATAGCAGGATGAAGATCTAAAATCAACACTACCAGACAGACTCTAGTCTCACAGTACTCCTGTGCTGCACAATGCATTCAACCCAGCTTCCTTATCAACTGAACTTTTTTTGAAAGAGAACCAAATTTCTTCATTAAGCTATGTGATTTCTATCCTAATTATCACATCACTAACTTAATAGGGTCAGTCTGATAGGACAACAAACTGTGCTTAGATGTCAGGAATATTAAAACAAAAGAGGAAATGTACTGGTTGTTTAAGGAAATGGGCAGTTAGGCTTAACTGACCTTGGAGTCTAACTACCTATTTACTTTAAGTCAAGTAGTTCTGCTTTCATTATTTATTTATTGAAACTTATTCAGACACTGCTCTGCTTCTGACTTCTAGTCTTTTCTCCTCCTTCAGCTGCATCTTGATGTTGATTGCCATGTAAAATTAACATCAGCTGAAGAGGAACATACTTAGATTAAGGCTGTATTTAGACTGAACCCCTGCTGTGATATTTTCAGGACTATCTTGAAATGTCCATTGGCTGAGAATTCTGATCAATATAATCAACAAAAACTGCAATTTTTGCTCTGTTACACATTAGGACAGCTTGAACTCTTGCCTTTGTTTTTCTGTGATTCCTTAGTCACTGCTTATTTACCAAGTCACATTACAGCTGGGTGGATTATTTGACTTCCTTATCCCTAATGTCATGTTGATTAATCTAGTAGGTGCTGACATTTGATTGAAATACAGCTTTGCAAGGAGCTGGAAAATCACATTTATTGGCATGGGGGACCAAATTTAGGGAAATTAGAACTTTCTGGTTATCAAGGCAAATTATAAGTACATGAAAAGTACAACCCAATTTTATAACATAATTCTCCCTTTGGTCATAAACTTTGTTTATATAATAATCAGTAACTATTTTAGTTGCCTTTAAATTCTAGTGCAGTATGCATATGAACCACACCATCACTACTGAAGGAGATGAAAATAAATGAGTTCTCTTTTATTTTTCAAAAGTATCATTTTCTAATGCATTGATGTTCACAAAAGTACATGCTAGGCACTGAAAGCAACCCTATTATTAGAACTAATGAAGTACTTAGATATGATATGCATGCATGCTTTTGGCGATGTGTATTGTATTCAGAGGTGGAGGCAGTGGTCACTGATGTCCAGCTCTGACAGTATCACAGGACAAAGGATCCACAGCTAGCAGTGTGGGATGGATGAGTCTGTTTCAGTAAACACGTATCTTACATGATGACATGTATAATTTTAACCTAAATTCATCAAGGTTACTTAAACTACAGTGTAGCTGTGTTTGAAACAACATATCATTTACTGGGTAAAGACTTAGAGAGATGGCTGGAGATTTTTGTCACATGAAGGAGAGTTGGTAAGCAAAAGAAGATGGTGGTGGTATTTATAATAATCATATGTTCAAAAGTAACATTTCAGCAAGACCATAACTCACAGATCCCATAGATCAAATATTAATTAATCTTACATTTTTGACATGGTAAATTAGGAGTAATATCAAAAGCCATCTGGCTATTTTAAATTTAGGAGATTATCAATATTTTGAAACCTTGGAAAATCTGTCCTTCTCTAATCATTAGACAGAAATCGTTCATTATAGTGCACAATCTATGGTGATAAAGATCACTAATTTGTCTTTTATTTTTTCACAGTGAAGCTTGTACTATCCCACTAGTCATGAAAACAGGATTTGAAATGATTTAACTAGCTATGATGACTAGTCCTTAGAGCAACTGGAAATTAAGGTTCACGGCTTTTATAAAGGAATGAATTTGGTATTTTTTTCTCATCATAGCTAGGAAAAAATAGCCTTTCTCATCTCCATTAGCTTTGCTAAAAAGTAGGACTTCTCTAGGTGACATTAATAATACAAATATAAATTTAAAGTTCAGGTACTGTGTGGATTTTGCTGTTAGAGATTCACAAACTTCTGGTAATTTCCATCTGACTATAAAACCATGATATCCATAGCTCCCATGCATATCTTAAATGATAGGCTTAAAAAATGCATTCCTATTATAAACGTCTTTCAATAACCCTTACACTATTTTTTTGTAGTTCATAGCGTAAAAGTTACCATAATTATTGCTTTATTAAACATAGGACAACTGATCTATACTAGAACACCAAAGGTGTCTTGACCTTCTGACATCACTGAAATTTTACTATACTTTTAAACAGCTTTTAAACAGCTGTACGTGTGATGTTGTGCATACTGTGTACACACTGATTGATGTTGAATTTCTGAAGATTGAAACAAAAAGGGGCCCAAACAATAGGCCTCAAACCAAAGTTGACTTCTGAGTGAATTCCCCGACCAGCAATCAGCATCTTATCAGCAGACTGAAGCAACCAGTATCTTATCAGCATGAAAATGTAACCCTGGGAACAATCCTTGGGAACTATAAGTAAACAATAGGAAGTAAGTATAAATCCCAAATGTAAAGAAAAACAGAAATTCCTCAGACATGCCCGGATCCTGGCCAGATCCGGACATGCCTGAGTGAGGCATATCAATCTGCCAGATATCTCCTGTGCGTTTTGTTTAGACTTGTTTGTTAAACTGTATAAAAGCTGGACCCTCCCACAGCAAAGACGGAGACCTCACCTACGAGTGGACGCACTGCGTAGGACTTCCCAATTGCCGGGAAAGGCTCTCCGACCCTTCTCTGTGACGGGGCTCCCCAGCTGATGCACGGGTCTGGATGATGGTAAAGTATGAGGGCAATTGGTGATGTATCTTTCTTAATCACTATAGCTAGCTTTAAATAGTAATGTCTAGGTGCATTACCTTGCTTATTCTTTCTGCTATTTCTACTATAGTAAAATTTCTATTTCTACTAAAATAAAATAAGCCTATTTCTTTAGCTTGGTGTCTGTGTCCTTTGTGTTAACCCCGTCAATTGGCAAAACAAAGATGGAAAGTATTTCGGATTTCTACTTTCAAAAATATATAGGACACATAATTACAAGTCATTACAATAGTACCTTCACTACTTGTTCTTACCTGAAGTGTAGTCTCCAAAACCACAAAATGAGCCCCTTGTTTTTATCCACTCTCCTGCCTCTACATTCCTTTAGGAGTTTCTGTCCAAAAGAGGTTCATTCATTCTCTCCTTTGGTCCTCCACTAGATGCACTTTTCCACCACTGGAGGTGGGGTCCTGTCTGAATTTACTGATTTTTGATCACAAATAAAGTATTTGGATCAGAGAACTGCCAATTTACTCTTTCATTCAGTAATTATCCTGAAATATTCTGTTGACTCTTCCATAACTAGGGATGGGATATCCATTTCCTTCATATATGTATATATTCATATGGATATTTATATACAATATACACCAAGATTATTGGTGCACAATCCCAAGGATGTTCTATAAGTACGAAACACTGTACTTTCACTGAAATTTCTGAAAAGAGTTTAATGTTTTTTCCTTTTTTTATTGTATTATTCTCTTAGTTTTTACTATATTTAAGTCATCCTTTAATTCTATGTTGATTTCAGAAATCATTAATAAGTAATGTTTTAATCAGAATGTTTATTCAGAAAAAAATCCTTTTGAAAAATCTAAATACTTAGTCTTTTTTATTTTATGCAATATATCTCTTGATTCGAAGTGGTATTTAATTTCAAAGTTTTGTTAAAGTGTATTTTATGGGCTTTTATTTTTTAAAGATTTTCCTCTGTGAAAATTGATTACATCCTAAAGCAACTTATAAGTTACAATTCACAAAGTATATTAAATTGTTGACTGAAAAATAAAATCAATGCATTGAGAACTACTGTACAGATTAAATTATCCATAAATCTGGTTACACTAATAAATACCTCTTTCTGTTGTTGTTACTGCTATATTGTATTGGAGCTCAGAAGCTTAAGTCATTGAGCAGACATTTTTCCATGATAACTCTCCTATACAGCAAAGACTTGTGCTTTTGCTATGCTCACCTATAGCAACTGGCCTTGCTGAAATCCTTAGGAATACTGATCATGCATTAGGTTAAGCAGATGGTACTGCTTTGTTTTGCTGTTTCAATGTCTTATGGACTGCACAAACAAACTGTATTGTATTGCCTGTATTAGATGTTGGGGTTGAGATACAAGAAAGAAGAATTATGTAATGTCGTATTGACAAAAACTCTGGATAACAATCATTTTTATCAAGGCAACACGACCCCTGTGAAGCTTGTGTCTAGTTAATTTCTTACACTGTGTTGTAGGTGGCTGTTACGACCTGAACTGGAAGTCCAGGGAGTTGTAAAAGTTCTGTGATCCCCTCAGGTTAATTTAATTTGAAATGACACCAAATTACAAGTTAAAATGTTTTACTAGTGGTAGAAATAGCTTAAACTTGGAAAAGGATAGTAGGAAATGTGGTGTCTTATTGATAAATCTATAAGAAAGAAAAGAAAGGAAAAGAAAGAAAGGGAAAGAGAAAGAAAGGAGAGGAAGAGGATCAAAGTGTCCAGATCACCACCCCAGATTCTAGTCTTGTCTCAGGTCTGGTAATCTTGGGTGGTGAGTGCACATGCAGCAAAGTTTTCTGTCACCTTTTAAGTTCATTTTATCACCTGATTAGCATACTAGACAAAGAGAGGCAGGTATTCCATTAATTAATTTCCATGAGGTACATGGAAAAGGTGGAGCATAGGTTCTGCAGGTGCACCAAGGGGGGATGGGATGCACCAACCCCCTTGTCCTATTGAATTGGTGGTCGTGTTCCCTCCTACCACCTTTACTTCTTCCTCAGTTTTTGCTTCTTGGACAATTGTCCAGCCTTTAGCTTATCAGTCTTTTTAGTCCTTCTTCAAGGGTATAGTCATAATTTAAAGTGTAGGAATTAACCTGACATCTGGTTTCACTCAGTCTATGTCTCTCCTGCTTTGGGGTTTATCTAAGGAATTTGGCAATACAATCACAAGTGAGTGAAGATGTGCACCCTTCAATACACTCTATGCTTCCTTGGGCAGTATCCCTTAGACAAATCAGAAAGGCCACAGCTTGTCCTCAAGGCTTTCTGTGTCAATTAATGTTTGAGTCATTAATTCCTTCAGTTCTTTACAACAGCAATAACCAATTTATAGGCCCAGTCAGAAAGTTATCAGAGTATCCTCATCAGACACATGTCCAGAGATGTTTGATTTCTGCTGAGATATTGAAGTAAGGAAGATATGTGACACAGCTGTGAGTTCTTTTTTTTTTTTTTTTTTTTTTTTCCAGGTGAATTAATGCCAGGTGCGTGATGTGTTGATTTTACTTACGCAAATGGAAAATATATGGAAGGTGAAGGCTCAGCAAGGTAAAGTAGAAAAGGATTGTGAGTGGATCCATTGCTCATAGACTTGATCTTCATCACTTGATCTAAGTGATGTCAAGAGATGGAGAAGTCTCAACTCTGAACTACTGATCCTCTATAACTATTTATTCAGACACTAAATCCTGTCTTTTTCTCAGGTTTTCTAGGACTCATAAATATTACTTTTGTGATATCTCTGGAATATTCTCAGACTGATATATTGCAGAGAATTTAATGTCTGGACTTGACACTGGCCTTTATCCAAAAAGGACTGTAGTGATTTTCACATACTTATGAGCTTCATCTAGAAATGTTGTCAAAATATTTATGCCAGCATGAACAAATGCACGCTCATCATTATTGTGCCACTTTCATCTAAAAATTTTCCTTCCACAGTGCAAAATCATTAAGAGAAGTAGCCAAAGAAAGTCCAGTAAAAGTCATATTCAGAGGCATTTATATAATACAAATTATAATGTTTGATCAATGGTGATTGCTCTATACAAAAGACTATATTAAACTTAATGGTCCAGATCCTCAGATCATAACTTGGCTGAACTCCACTCGAGTTAATGCATACAGAAAGTTTTATATCAGATGAAGATCTATCCCTGAATTTTCCATAGTTCAACAAAATAATTATTTTTTGGCTCTTAAATTTCTCTTCAGGGATAGAACCTAATGGGGCCCTATTTACCACAAAGTACTGTATTCTAAGTCAAGTGCTACAATTTCACTGAACACCAAAATAGTAAAATAAGAATAAGGTAATTTATTTTCCTAGAATCAAGATTTTCCCTTTGTTTTAGAAACATCTTTGTACTTAGTCTCCTCTTGACTTTGCTGTTTGGATAAACAGTCACAGGACATTAAAGGTAGATGAAGGGAAGTCTTGCAAGACAAACTTGTTGGCTGGCTTCTGTTCTGAGATATGGGCTGAATGTCAAGGAAAAGTTCTCAACAGTTTGTAAAGGAGTGGATTACAATCCTAAGAAAATAGACCAACTACCCGTCTCTCTGGATATGTAAAATAAAACTGAATTAAACATTTTAAATTGTGCTTTGAGGAACAATTGTTTATTAGCAGGAAAATTGAGTAGAAGATGCATATTTATTTCACTTTTCCTTCTTTGATTCACATGCTATGTTCTCTAGTCATCTTGCTGTAATAGTGCACATTATTGTAGAGCTGTTGGAAATTTTGGGCTATTGAATTAGCTCTTAATACATGTAAAATAAATAAAGAAGTGGCAGGAGTCTGCTTTGCCTCTAAATGTCTTCCTAAACATGAACTTCCTATCTCTTTCAATTTAAGATTTTAATGCCAGAATCATCAGCATGGTGAGTTGTAGCCAGGAAATTTTGGTCTTTATCACTTGATTAAAATTTAAATTTTTTTAACAGCTGTGTTCTTTAGGTTCTTTGCTGTTTTAAAATTGACCTGCCATCCTTCACTGTTTTAAAGTACAGGGCATGCTTTCTTGTTTTACAGTATGAAGAAACATACATTCTATTAAATTTCTTCAGTTAATGATTGGATTTTGCTGCTTTATTGCTTCTGGTTTGTTCGTGTTGACATTTTCTCTATCTGATATTAACTGATATTAGAACTGAACTTTTTAAGAGCTCAATCCTCTGTGTACTAGATAATTATATTTAGAATTTTTCACGGACTCTGTAGTAGCAGAACATCAACTGACTGGTGTAAGAATCCGGCAATGTTGGGTTGATTGCTGAGTCCATCTATTACTTTATCTTTCCTCTACCAGGAAGATGTATTTGATTTTGGAGCAAACAGGAATTTGACCATTGTTAGCAATTTAAGGCTATCAGAGAAATAGAGAATCTTGCTTCTTGTCTGCAACCAGGCCATGTAATAATGTGCTATTATGCAATTGTTGTATTATGATTGAACATTGTTTGGAATGGCCAGAGCATGGGGCTCTAAGTTTTGGTTTCTAAGATGTCTCTGTATCTGGGGGGTGGAGTCACCCCTGTTCTGCACCAAGGAGGAGAGCTAAGCACCCACCATGCCATGGCTAGGCTCAGGATGAGTCGTGCCTCTCACTGAATGGCATGGGGATGGTGGCACCTGGCTCCTCCGTTTCTCCCCATGGGGAGAGGACTGCTATGGCTGCAGGCATCACACTAGTCACACCAACAGTATGTCTGAGCTCCAGCCCCAGGTGAGGTACTGCTACTGGCTGCACTTCTCCCTCTTCATTTATATCCTCGCTGTGAGCTCATAGGATTTTTGCTATTGTCCAGAGTATGTCTCCTGTTCATCTTAACCAATTAAAGATAATTTTCTTGAAAACTGGGTTACTGCAGATGTATTTGGATGTGATGTATGGCAAATCCATTTTTCCCCTTTCCTCGGTACATTTTTTATTATTATTTTTAGGGGGAAAAGGGAATTGGATTTTGCAGGAAGTCCTGACCTTTGTCTGCAACAGTTTCCATCTGAATTTTGAGATGAGGCCATAGTGACAGTGTCTAAAAATAGAACACAAGGAGAGGCATAAATGAGTGTGAGAGGGATAGTAATTTATTAATCCACTTCAGCCTACTTGCAACATGTCTTAGGATACTGAACAGAAATTTTGAATGAGCCAAATGAAAGAGTCAACACTTTAAACTAGAAGGTTAGGAATTTCCACAACCACTGTTTGCTGCTGGATAGGTTAAAACATGCAGAAAAAGTGTCAGCCATACAATTAAAATATTGAAACAAAAAAGATTTAGTGAATCTCATTTGTAAAAACTGCATTAACACATATACTTACCAGATAACTGCTCCCCACAAGAATCATAAAAAACACTGGATAACTTTTATCCTCCTAAGATTTAGAGCACAATGTAAGTACTCTGTTAAAAGTGTTAAGTGGTTTGTTTAACTAGAAAAGCTATTGTAGAAATTACATAATTCAGACTCACAGGGAGTGTTTCTTTGATAAGAGCACTGGATAACAGGGCTCGTATTGTTTGATTATATGCATGATTCACAAATGTATTTTAATGAATGTATATTGTGTCTCTCTGACTTCTCAATGTTTCTCAGTATTCACTAGTTGTCAACACTTCCAAGATTTTTTTTGTAGTACACACTTTGCAGGAGACCTAAAACCTGTGTGACAATATAGAGCAAGTGTCTTCCCAGGTAATTGGTCCTTGTCATTGGGACTACTGAATGTTGTTAACCTGTTTTTGTCAATACATATTTGATAAAATAGAAGAGAACAAAAGCAGGGAAGAAGGAACCAAACCAACTTTTTTATCAATATTATTTGGAGCATTCTTTGTGAAATAGTCAAGAGAGAGACCTTGGGGGTTTCTGACATTAAACATGCGCATCTGAAAGGGAAACAGTGTATATTTTAAGAAGGTGTGCCATTAAAAACAGTACATTGACATGAATGCTGTGTGCCTCCTATTCAGAAATGACTTTTGACAATAGTAACCCTTGTGGTATGAAAGGGTGGACACATTTCATCCACTTGTCCAGTGACCTCCATGAATCCTGCAAGATTAGTGGAATTACAAGAAACGGAAGAAAAATTCTCTAGACTTCCAGCCTTCTTAATGAAATGTTGTTTGAGTGTCAAGCTGTTTCTCATCCTCCCAAAAATGGACTTTGTTTTCCTTAGGTGAAAAATCATTGCAGTAATCTGTTGAGCTACAGACTGTCCAGCAAATACAGTCTTCCTAGACAAGACAATTTGTATTGTGTTATTTCTTTACACAGAACTGTTGCGTAAACTCCCAAATCAATTAAAAATAACCCACCCCCAAAATTTATTTTTATACACAATTAATCAACATTCAGCAAACATACAAACAACAGGTCCAAATGTCCGTGAGAGGAGAACAAACTATCACCACACAAACTTCTGGGGTTTAACAACAACTCAAAACACCAACTAGGGGTTTATCAAAAACCCAAAATGCTCAATCACTCACCTAATAAAAGGTGAGGACTCTTAACCTTGAGGAACATCTCAGGGCAGCATCCCAACTCGTAGGAACCCTGAGTAGTCTCCTTGGGTGGTGTCCCAACCCAAGGGGAGAGTCCTTACCTGCAGCACACTGCTCCGGGCGGGACTAGCTCCAAATGGCTCCCCCCCCCCCATCAGGGACTCCATTGATACCCGAGCCGAATCTGACCTGTGGTCAATATCAGACCCTATTGGCCAAAGACCCCAACTACCGTAAAGCCCTGAGAACAAGGGCACATGAAAGGTTCAACAGCCAGGGAACCACAATTTCATTAAATGACATATAAATATGAGGGAAATATTTGAAACCTAAAATCAAAATAAATGTTCTTTGAAACAGGTATGCAACTATTTAACTTGAATGAGCTATATTAGAGCTTTATAACTCTTGTAAAATGGTTCTTTTCATTTAGACAGTAAGAGCAAATAGATGCTTCAACTTCTATTGTTAAGCAAAATAAATTAAATTATTTAAATTTAATGAAAAAAATGCAAGTACCTGGAATAAGGAATACTCATTTTCGACGCTCAACAAAACTGCAAGAATCAGCATCCAATACTGGAATAATTTATGTGAATTTAGCAATGAGCAGTCTCTCTGGTTCTGTGACTCAGAGACACACATTAGCTCCATAAATATGCAAAGGATTCATGCATTGCAGAGCTATAAGATAATGCAATATAAGTTCCCTGCAACAGTAGTTTGTCATTAAAACTAATTCTCAAAAATAAGGAACATTTCTGGATGTGTAACATTACCTTCATATAGGTTGTACATAGAAAGTAAATACACATTAGAATAACACTAATGCATTGTAAATTAAATTACTTATTACTTAGGTAATGCTAGAATCAAAGTAGAGATTGTCTTCATTTATGTCCATTCTGCTTATGCATTCTAATCTAATTTTATTTTTGTTGGTTTTACCCCTTGTATGTAGTGCAGGGTTTATGCGTAACGCACAATGTTGCAGTAATGAGCATTGTTA